CCAACAACATATTAACTTGATCTCTTGGACCTCTTTCATTCGAAATGGTCTTGGGCTTGTATGGCTCAGTCTTTTTATAGTGGCAATCTTTCGCCACATGGTTGGTCCTCCCACAAACAAAGCATAATTTGTGATCACCTTTGCCTTTAGGATTTTTGGGTTTACTATTATTACTATATTGTGGTGGAAGGTTTGATTGGTACGCTGGTTGGTTTTGTTATTTTTGAAAATCCTCCCTCTAAGATGGTAACGACCTCTATTAATAGAATGATTGAAATTTTTATTGTTTTCAACTAGGTTCACCTTAGTTAACTTATCACTTTGGTTGAATCTAGACCTATGACTTTCTTCAACTCTGATGGAATTAATAACTTTAATCAATGTTAATTCTCCTTGCTTATGTCTAAGGGATCTATAAAATCAAACCAACTAGAAGGAAGTTTCTCAATAAGACATGACACTTTGAAATCTTCACTAAGTTTTGTGCCATTTTTCTCCACTTATCTCAAATGATCTTGGAATATATGGATTTGTTCACTTACAGTCATATTATCTACCATTTTATAATTATTGAAATTAGACACCACAAATCGTTCTATACCAGCATCGTCAATCCCATATTCAGCTTCTAGGGCATTCCATAATTCTTTAGCACTAGAGGTATGATAGTAGATATCATAGAGATTGTCAGATAATGCACTAAGTATTATATTGTGACAATGGTAATCAATTTGCTCCTTGGTCATACATGAAGTAGTGGACTCTCTAGTGGTTGAAGTTTCAGTTGTTGTTGTTGTTGGGGTGGAGACAATTTGAGTTTGTGATGGAGTGGTAGCTAGTGAGAGGTTCTTCAGAGGCTGATAAAAGTCCTAAGACGCTTAGCCAATACCTCATTTGTTTCTGCCAACGCTTAAAATTTTGACCACAAAACTTCTCAGGTTTAACACTATTGGCTTCATCAAATTTGCTTAACATTTTTTTTTTTTTTTTTAAATCCTAAAGGCAAAGTTGATTTGAACTTTCTGTAGAATTGTAATTAAAAAAAAAAAAATGTCACTATAGGATTCAACCTAATTTATATTCAAGTAATTTCTACAACAATAATAAATAACGTAGATTTGAATAAACAAAAAGAAACAATACGCTATAAAGCAAAAAAAAATGTTACAGTAACGAATATCCTATAACAATAAGAACACTATTATTATAAAACATATATATACACATAAAATTTCAAACACTTTGAAAAGGTTAAATATATATATATATAGTATATCACGTTTCAAAAAACAATTTTAATAGTGTAATGAAAATATATATATAGATATATAGATATATATATATATATATATATATATATATATATATATATTTGATGTATTGTATATTACAATTACTATTATGCAGGCAAGTGAGAGAGTTTTTATAAAATTGCTACAGGTACCATATATATCTAACAGACTATTTATTTATTTTATTTATTTTTTATTTTTTACTCATGAAATAGCAGTTTTAGATTGTTGCAGCAGAACTAATAATAAAATAGTAACAATATACAAATACTTCAATAACACAAACACTATTATAACATATATTAATAGATATTCAAATAAGAGTGAACTGCATAATTAATCTTTATAATATAACAAAATCAAATATATATATAAAGGTAAAAGAAAGCTCTGGCCTGGGATATAATGAGACACGTGTTGGACACGCTGTCCTAAAACTATTATTTCCTCCTTACGTGTAGACGGTGATGGCTATAACAGTTCCAAGATATAACCCCAATCGCTCACAGTCACTAACTCCTCTATCAGCACGTTGACAAGAAATATATAACCAAGTCGTGTATCAGTTGCCCAAAAGAAAGTATTACAACAATGATAGGTAAGGAAGGAAAAAAACAAGAGAATAGTTGTAATCGTTGTTATATTCTCTGAATTGCTGGACTCTTATTTATAGATTAGGAGTCCAACGATAGTAAACAAAGTGTGAGAAAAATATACTATAACGTTGAGAAAAAATCGTAACAACGTTGAATATCTCAATCTTAAAAATCTCAATTAAAATGATTTCAGATGAACCGTTCAAAGAGGTTATGAAATCTTAATTATAATATATTAAAAATACTAATTATAGTTAACGCAAGTCAGTAACAATTTTGATACTGTCAGCCATTTTTAAACATGAAATATTATATTTATCCTTACTATAATTGCAAAGACATTTCCACCCTTGAATTGAAAATTACTCATGCACTCTCAATGAATCACACTTATAATTTATACGCCTCTCTCTCTCTCTCTATATATCTATATATATATATATATACATTGTTCTATATATATTATGGTTCAATGTATCGGCCGATATCCATACCGGCTTGTCGAAATCCGTTACACCGCCAACATAATATATATGTTGTCCGATCTATGATGCATCACTGTAAATCGTCACCACAACAGCGGGTCGTCTTTCGAACCAAACCCAATCCTCCAATCTTGCCTCCACAAATTGCTCGCACAATCAATCTATTCCTCCACAAGCACACGGCGGATCGCTACCGAAATCGATTGAGGCCATGGTCGCGGGAATCCATAGAGTCCCTCACCGTCGACAAAGTAGCCCTTATCCTCTTCAACTCAGCCGTCTGCGGTCGCACCCTCAAGTGGAACTGAACCGACCCATACCCATATTCATTGTCAGGCGCCTAGTGCGACAACGCCACCGGCTGGGTCACCTCCCTCCGCACCCTCAAGATATGAACCATCATTCATCGATCCATCGTAAGTTCTAACCCAAAACAACAATGCTGCCCCCATGCGAATCGCCGCCGCCGCCATGCGAGAACGATCTCGCCGCCGTACATGTGCTCCGTTTGTAGCCATGATAGGTTGCTGGAAAAGGAACTTGAGTATGAAAAGTGATTATTTTCGTCAACCACCCAAATTTGAGCACTATAATTGTAGTGTGGATCTCTATGGTCGAGTTGGGTATCTCCACAAAGCAGAATCCTTTATCAATAGCATGCCAATAAAGCTGGGACCCTCGGTCTTCAAAGCTCTACTAAGTGCTTCTCAAGTTCATGGAAATTGCTACACGTTGTGCGAGAAAGCTTGTGGAGCTTTGTCCTAATGATCCTGCATGTATTGATGTTGTTGTTGACATAGGACCAATTAATTAATCTCTTCGTATAACCAAATTAATGGAATAGGGAACTGATCTTATAATTTTAAAGCTGATCTTGGACTCATTTTGTGGGGATCAACTCCAAAAGAATTCTTAAGACCCGAACTTCATAATCTGATTTGAATTGGGAATCGCTGCATGATTGGCATTTGGAATCACTTGATATCATTGTTTTTCCTTACCGAATGAATGGTAAATTATGGATTTTGGGTAAAATATTTGAAATCTAATTCCATATACAGATGAAATCATTTCACTGGAGAGTTATGCCAAAGGTTCTCTCTATTCAAGTCGACCTTGCACCTTCTTTCAAATGAATTGATAAATGCGGATTGTGGTGGTGTTGCAGCGGTGGTGGTGCAGCCGCTTCTTGTGGCGGGTAAGAGAGAATGAATACATATGGAGAGAGAGGATAGAGTTTTTGTAAGGGGAGAGTTTATGGTACTTTTGTCATTTCACGGTTTGCTAATTTTTTTTATTATTTTATAAAATAAGAATATATTAGTCATTTAACCAGCATTTCATCGAATCGAACTCCAACCACATTGGGGGCAGGTTTCTATAATTTTTAAAATATTAAAGATATTACTTGTAATTATACCTAATTTGGAGAGAGGTAAGTGATATTTTTTCAAATAATAATATAAAAATAATATCACAACAATTTTAAAATAAGTAAAAAAATTAATATCACAACCGATTTAAAGAAATGTATTAGCAGAAATTTAAATTCTATGCACAGTTACATCGCATGCTATTGTGAACTTGTGATGATGGGGGCGCACCTACGGTCCGCCCACCTGCTTATCTGGGTGACTCACCCAACACAAAGACGGAGTCAAAATTTTAATTAACAAGGGACACAGTTTAAAAAAGAAATAAAAATTCAACTAACATTGATATAACAGGCCAAAAAAAAAAAAATGGGATAAATTTTGAAAATTAAGATAAATTTTAAAAGAAAAAAAAAATTATAGTATGATTCGAAAAGGAAAATATGACTTTTTTTTAAAGAAATTTAAAAAACAAAAGAAAGAAAAAGTTAAGATAATTTTAGAAATTAAAAATTTAGGAAGGGCTATATATAATTTTTCATACATACTAAAAAAAATTACAAATTAACTATATATATTCTATTGGCCAGGGCCAAGTCTCTTAGGCTTTAATTGACTCCGCCCCCGTTCAAACGCTTTTCTAATTAGGCCCGTGATACCGAATCAAGAATTGGATCTGATTTGATACCAATTATAATTGGTGAGCACTTGCCAATTTATCAAAAAACTTAAACTATTAGATAATACTATATACCCATTTATTTATATTCCTTTCACTTTCTATCCTAATTCTATATGAAACAAATACCCTTGTACCAAACTTATCCTATACGGCCACCAGCACTCCTCGTAACTAAATTTAAGCTATCAGATTAATTAGGTACTTACCTGATTAACTTAATTTAATGTAACATTTTAATTAGGTACTTACGTCATAAAAATAAAAAGAAAAAGAAAAAAGACATCCAGCTACAAATTTATTTCGTCGTTTCATCCTTATCCAACACCACGCGAAGTCTATTGATATCCAGATTCCCCAAAAAATTCGAATCTGACCTTTCCATCACTATCCTCTCTCACCTTAATAAAACGCAACCGCAATCATCGACCTTTTATTGAAAATCATCAACCTCAATATTACATCCAACGGATCAGCGTAGTTGACACTTTTATTTACGTACTTCTCCCAAACTACTCCATTTATACCCGAGTCTTGCGTTTGTCTGCTTAACTTGAAAATTTATCCAGCCCAAAAACAGTTCAATTCTGTTGGGGTCTCTCTCTCTAATTGCTTTCTCTCTCAGATCTTCGTATTTTTGGCCCCCTATATCTTCTCTCTCCATCTTTGTTTCTCTCTCCTGACAGAGCTTCGAAGCATTCTTCACTGCAACTAATGGAGATGGCAATGGAGGACTCTCGGTCGCATGCCGTTCTCTCCACTGTTCATCAGGTACTCGCTGTTGCGGATCAAATAGCTCGACCGTTTACCATAAAGCCTATACAGTGTACGCAACGAAGTTGTAAATTTAGGGTTTGTTAGATTTATTACTAGCATTTTTAATATCGTTTCTTGCGATCGTATTTTCACAAATTGAACTTGCTCAACGACTTTAGGGTTCTCAAAAATTCACGCTTCTCACTGTTAATCTCGTGTCAGAATTTGGTAATTTGATGTTTTTGTTGTGAATGGAGCTCTAATATTTGAAAATTTTAGGAGTTTACGGAGTGTCGTTTGTGAAATTTGAGATTTCTAGGGTTTCATATGTTGGTGGAAATTCTGAATTTATGTTCTAGGGTTTGAAACTTTGAATGGCGGGAAGGGGAGAATTGGGGTTTCTGAAGACTGGTGGTGCTTGTAGTTTACGAGAACAATTAGCAAGAACTACTCTCCGAAATGTCAGATCGCGGGGGCATACATACGTTGAGCTTAGGGAAGATGGGAAGAGATTCATCTTTTTCTGTACTTTGTGTATGGCCCCGTGTTATAGTGATTCTGTGTTGTTTGATCATTTGAAGGGCAATCTACACGCTGAAAGGTATGCTGCTGCTAAAGCTACTTTGTTAAAACCAAATCCTTGGCCGTTTAATGATGGGGTACTTTTCTTTTACAATTCGTCTGAACAAGATGATAACTTGCCTATTTCAAATGGTAATCAAATTAGCTTGTTGGACACTCACAGTGATGATGACAATGATCTTGCTATTGTTGCTCATGGTGAGAAGTCCAGTAACACTGGTGATGGCCGTGGCAGGCATAATGAGTTTGGTTGTATTAGTAACTTATACTCCATAGGAAATGATGCAGGCTGTGATAAGTACTTGAATGGAAATCGGAGCAATTGGGATTTGGTTATTCCTGGTGTTATGTTGAAGGATGAAATATTGGATTTAGAAGTGGGATTAATGGGTGTTGGGAAAATTGCTGCTAGATTCCTTCAGAACGAAGAGTTTTCAAGTGACATTACTAGAATATGGTGTGAATGGCTGGGGAAGGAAGACTTTGGTGATGAGGATGCCCTTACGGTTCAAGAGCATGATTTTGCTGTCGTGATTTTCACTTATAATTACGATTTAGGTAGAAGGGGATTCTTTGATGACGTGAAGTATTTGCTATCTTCTAGTCCTCTGGCTGAAATTGATCATATTGAAGGCGGTAGAAAGAAAAGAAGGAAATCGTTTTCTGATCCAGAGGATATTAGTCAGTCTTTGAGTAATCAATATGAGTCTTCTGGGGAAGATTCTCAATCTTCAAACAGTTCCAATTCAAGATCACTGTTAGACGGATATGATGATCAGCTTTTACACTCAAGAATTGTATCAAGCAAGGCCATAAGGCGAGAGTTGAGGCGACAACAACAGATAGCCGCAGAAAGAATGTGTGATCTCTGTCAACACAAAATGCTTCCGGGTAAAGATGTAGCAGCACTTCTGAACACAAAGACAGGAAGACTTGCTTGCAGCAGTAGAAATGTGAATGGGGTATATATTTCGATGTGGATTGTGTCTATTTTCCCTTTGCCATTATTCTCTTTTTGTTTTAAGGCCCAATACATTCATTTCTATACTCCTTGTGGCCTGTTACTCTCTGTTGAATTGGAAATTTCATGCAGGCATTTCATCTGTTCCATATTTCCTGCCTTATACACTGGATACTTCTCTGCGAGTACGAAATATTGGCAAAGCCTTCAGATGGTCCCGAAGTGAAGAGGAGATCTAGGAGAAAAAGCGGAACCAAGTTCAAGGAAGTAAGAAAGGAGAATGAGATTGGAACTGTAAGAAAGCAAATTTATTCTGTGTTCTGCCCAGAGTGTCAGGGAACTGGTATAAACGTCAAGGGAGATGAACTGGAAAAACCGACTTTCCCTCTTTCCGAGGTTTGCACATGGAACAAGTTCCCATCCACATTTCTCTTTGAAATCTTCATTTCTCCATTGATGATTTTTCCATTTTTCATGATTTGATTTTTTCTTGCAATTTGTGCTCATACACTCTTATGGACAGAGCTTAAGTTCTTCTTGAAGTTTTAAGGGTTCCTTTGTTGGTTCAGATATTCAAATATAAAATAAAAATGAGTGATGCACATAGACAATGGATGAGAACTCCTGAAGTACTACCGAATTGCTCAACGGGATTTCATTTTCCTTCCAGTTCCAAAGAAACACTTCAGGTTTTGACATTTCTGATCAAAAATCTCCTTTTTTCTTAGTAAAGAAATAAAAGTCACTAGTGTTATTTATTTAATTATTTGGTTTTTTTTTTTCTCTTTCCAATCTCCTATTCTCAGGAAAAGGTGTTGCCACTGAAGCTGCTACGTTTCTATCACGCTCGTGAATAGAGCTGGACTCAGAGTTCATCAGCTTCACAGCAAGTAATGTTCTTCCTGTTAATGGCAGTTAGATCTTACCCCTAACAGACCCCTAAGTTGTTGCAAGCTTAGTAGTGATTGTGAAAATCACAAATGGTAGTTTGAATAGGAATAGTTGTATCAAGGTAGTTACCTTTGTGGATAGATTTCTCATGAAACAGTGTATATTCCTGCTGTCTAACTGAGCTGCATATATCAGTACAGACTGCAAAAAAAAAAATTGTTCACATTGTAATTGTCTTGTTGGATAATGGTGGATTTGAGTTCAAATATATAGTAGATTACATTATATCTTTAACTTCTATGACGAAAATTTTTAGCCTAGAAATCCATTGTCTTGAGCACAATTCAAAGACGAGTGTGAAATGGATGCAGTATGCCTAATACTGCATGCATGGCATTAAGAATTTAAGATCACTATCCAGTAGTTGTCCCACTAATGCGGCATAGTGGGATGGACGGACTGCATGCAAGCGTAACCTTCTCCCTTACGCATATTTGCGAACGTAGTGGGAAAATATAAATCAAATAGAGAAGGAAGGGGTGCTAAGGTTCAGAGATAGAAAGGGGGATTGAGTAGTATAATAAGAGAGTCAACTCATGAGAGAGATGGGTTTTTGTAAAGATGAGAGGGTGAGACAAGAAAACACAAGGTGAGTAGGGAAGTAGGAATGCTTTAGAAGGTAGGGACACTTTCATTGAGTTCTGGTGTTGTGCTATTCTGTACTCTTTAATCTTTTAAAGTTTATAATGGGTCATTCTTTCTCATTCGTTGGTGCAACGTTAAGGTTGCTCCATTCTGACCTAGAGGTCACGAGTTGAAACAAGGAAATAGCTTCTCCTCATGTGGAGGTAAGGCTATGTATATCTGACTCTCTCCAAGTCCCGCAATGGTGGGAGTCTCGTGCACTAGGTATTTTTTTTTTGTGCGCGCGCGTGTTGCAGCTGAGTGATTGGATCTCAATTGGTATGCTCATTTACAAAAAATAAAAATAATAAAATTAAAAATTAAAAAAAAAAAAAGTGAAGAAAAAATTGGTATGCTCATTCTCAAAGATTGAAGAAGGGAGTTAAAAAATTAATCCATTCATCCAGCCTGTGGCAAGGCTGTTTGTGAGGCTTGTTGAGGCTCATGACACCTGGACAGAGCAGTGGAGTGGGGGATAATTTTAGGTTCTAAAGTCACTGAGAAAGGAAGCATGGGATGGGATTGTTTCCAGGGTTGGGTGTTGGTACAGATTTTTGGGTGTTTCTATTCTTTATCCTTTGTAACGATTGGTACTTGTTTTGTTAGGATGTTTGAGAAGCATGCTTGCCGTTTTATGCTTAGATGCAAGAGATTGTTGAAATTGTTGTGTCACAACAATTTGGCATACAGTAGTTTCAGCATGCAAGAGACCTAACATAATTGCTACTTTTTGCTGATTAGATGTATAATTTGTTGCTTAATCATTGGAGAGACGTAGATATGCATATGTAAGAAGTATTTGCTGGCTTGTTAGATTACCAAAAGTGTTTCTTCCAGCTACGTCGGTTATTACTGGCTCTTGCCGGCAGCTTCATAAAACAAGAGGTTACAGTTGACATTTCAACTGTGATTCATTTTGTTACTTTATTTATTACCAAATCCCAGTCTACCAGCCGGCCAAGTTTTATTTCATGGAAGACTAGGCGAGATATGCTATTAGCGGCATAATGCTATACATAATGCTATATTAACCTTTTACTTAGATCGTTCTCAAAACATGGGGAACTCTCACGAACTCAAGAATTTCATCTGCTTCTTAGTGGTTCTAGCTATGGTTCTTTCTCTCGTGGGAGGATCACAGGCGCGCCTGTTTGTTCAGACAGAGAGCCTGGGATTGAAATCTGCGACAAGGTTGAGAGAGTTGGTGATAATGCTGCCAGAGGGTGTACCGATGCCTCCATCGGGGACCAAGTCCTGGCATGAACTGATTTAAGAACAGCTGTGGAAAATGCCATTTTTTGCTAGTTCCCTGTGATTGTGGAAATGTTTATCTGATTATTCTTTCAATGTCATTCTTTTCTCCAACAAAGCTGAAGCTGTTGGTTTTTGTTGTGTGTTTAGCATGACTACTGACAAAGTTATTAAAACAGAGTAAGTTGGCCATTTGGTTTTATTAGCTGAATTGACTCATTCAGTTGCTAATATCTTTCTGCAAAAATATTTTACTAAATTTCCCTATAACTACTGTAAATCGTGCTTAAACAGTTGGCAGGTTTATGTTGTAGACACGATTTGTTGATGATTACTTTCCGATGAATTTGGAAATTAGCATCAAATATTTATCTATCAAATATAAGACCATAATAAAAAATATATTTAAATGTTCTGTTCACAGAATTTTCTGTAGCATTTATTTCATTTAGTGAGTGGTCTCTAAACCACTTTTTGGTTTGCTCTCATTCAATTCCATTTGGATTCTTCATCCTATTCTGAGTTACTGGGAAAACTTGAACAGTGTGTCCTTCATCTGTGATCCAACACATGAATTGTCCAAGCTCAAGTTAATTCAATTCTATCAAAACAAAATTCAGCTATTGAAGATGTATATGTCTTTTGAAGATCAAAGAGACCAAATGATTACTATTCTGGCAAAAAAAACTCACACTCACATTGTGATCGACAAGAAAAAAATGGTTTTAACCTAAGAATGATGTTCTCTGTCCCAATGTTATCTTCAAGAAAACTTCATTCTCGAGGCCCTTTTGAATGCTTCATAGATTTTTATTTGCAATTGTTAGAGCATCTGTTTGGCTTATCATAAAAAACAAGAAAGAGCTCTAGCAATAACACGTGACAAACTGAAAAGGCCTTTAAAATGGTTGTAATCTCAATCCTTGGGAGAGGAGAGCCGATGGGAGGAGAAAAACATTAAATTTAAAAATACTTAAATAATAATTTTTTTGAGTTTTTTTTATTCATTCATATATATATTTTGTTCTTTTTTGAAAAAAAAAATTCAAAGAAGTCCTATTTTTTAATTTTTCCATTTAAAAAACCATTAAATCCTACTACTAAGTGACAAATTTACGAACATGACAGCCTTGCGAACACGAGCACACCCAATCAAAAAGATGGGCACAATACCAATTAGGCTATTAAATTGAATGTATATCCCGTGGGAGATTAATAACATAGAAAGAAAGGGTCAAAATAGTCAATTAAATGTTCATTTTACTTAATACTCTTTCACTTTTGAGATGACTCCAGAATTTTTTTTTTTTTTTTTTTGACCTTTTCTCATTAATTTTTTATTTGTTTTTGTTTTTAGGTAAGAATAGTCGTCGGACAAACGCTTCCCTATTCTTGTAACCTTATTAGACCTCTCTCCTGTCCGTGACTGGCGATGAGTCTTCTTCTGTCGCGCTTTTCTTCGAACATATGGTGCGCTTGTTATGGTGTACCTAGAGCTTTTAGGGTTCTCTTATACTCTACCCAAACCCTAATCTCCTCATCTTCGAAGGACACTCTGTACGAGAGGATTTTAACTGCTGGAGAGCATAGGGGATCAATCGTCCCGGTCCTCGATCAGTGGGTTGAAGAAGGACGAACCTTCAACGAATATGATCTCAAAATCAAAATTAAGCTCCTCAGAAATTACAAACGCTTCTCTCATGCTCTTCAGGTCAGACCCATAACCTAGATTCACATTTATATGCGCGCGCGCACACACATATAATCATGATATACTTGTACATTCATGTATTTGATTTGAGTCATATAATGTGCTAGTTCCGTCCTAGATCTGGAAATGGAATGTATATAGTTACAACAAAGAAGCCATTAATTGTCGAATGCTATATCTTGTGGAAATCTGTTGAATGTGAACTGAAGTTATGATTACTATTTTCTACATTGAGGTTCAAAATGCTTAATTTAAAAGATAATAGTAATACATTTTATGAATTAAGAAGTGCAATGCTATAATTAGTACTAGAAGAAGAATGAAATTAAGAACCACATGAAGATCATTTCTGTATTTACGAGTTACCAATAGAAGGTTCAACTAAATAATACAGGTTAATTAGAACGAATTATGAAACATAAGAAGGTTAAAACAAGTGAGATCGAAACAATTGGGTGTGTGTGCACTACTTTTCTCCCACTGGTTATGCAATGAAATTTATGAGCTTTTTACTTGTAACATTTTGCTCAAAATTATTTTCTCACTACAAAATTTAACTTCATCGTCATTGGATTGTGTCCCTTGAATCTTGGTTCTTAATTAGAATGGATTATGAAACATAAGAAGGCGAAAACAAGTGGGTTCAAAACAATTGGGTGTCCACTACTCTTTCTTCACTGGTTATGCATTTTAGTTAGTAAGTTTTTTTCACTTGTGAGTGTATGGATGGGGCGATTATCTTGCTCAAAATTATTTTCTTCCTATATAATTTAACTTCATTGTCTTTGGCGTGTGTCCCTTTAATCTTGGTTGTTAGTCTTATTTCAGTTATCTGAATGGCTGAGGAACAAAAGGTACCTTCACCTATCGTCACCCGGTGATGTTGCTGTTCAGTTGGATTTGGTCTCAAAAGTTCATGGCTTGGAAGAGGCAGAGAAGTACTTTAGTAACATCCCAGACGGTTTGAGAACCTACCATGTTTACAGTGCTCTTTTAAATTGCTATGCATACGTGAAGTCAGTGCAGAAAGCAGAGACGATCATGCAGAAAATGAGGGAGTTGGGGTTTCTGAAAATATCACTGCCTTACAATGTTATGATGGACCTCTATGCCAAGATGGGAAAGCGCGAGAAATTAGATGCCCTCTTTCAAGAAATGGAAGAGAGGGGAATGGTTCATGACAAAGCCACATCCTATATTCGGTTAAATTCATTTGTAACTGCTTCTGACATAGAGGGAATGGAGAAGCTTCTTATGAAGATTGAATCCGATCCTCTGTTCACCCTGCATTGGAATACTTATGTCATTGCAGCAACTGGTTACTTGAAAGCTGGCCGTGTAGAAAAAACTTTGGAAATGCTGAAGAAATCCGAGCAACTCTGTGTCTGTGATGGTAAAAGAAGACGCTTTGCTTATGGAATTCTCCTTACAATTTATGCTAGTCTGGCTAGAAAAGATGAGGTGTATCGCCTATGGTATTTGCTCAAGAAAATGGGGAAAGTAAACAATAAGGGCTATTTTCGTATGATAAGCTCATTAGTCAAATTGGATGACATTGATGGAGCTGAGACAATCTTTGAGGAGTGGGAATCTCAGTGCTCGTCCTTTGATTTTCAAATTCCAAACTTGCTGATCAACGTTTATAGCAAGAAAGGGCTTTTGGAGAAGGCTGAAGCATTCGTAAAAAGGGCTGTAGAGAGAGGAGGGAAGGAGCCTCCGGCCGGAACATGGGATCATCTGGCAACTGGATACTATAAAGATAATCAGATGGCAAAGGCAGTGGAGAACATGAAGAAAGCAATCTCGGCCAATCCATGCGGATGGAAACTAAACCGTGTTACTTTGAAGGCATGCCTAGAATTCTTGGAAAAGAATGGGCACGTGGAAGCAATAGAGGAGTTCACAAGATTACTTGGTGAACATGGTCATTTCTCATATTTGCCTGGAGAAAATGATATCAAAGAAAATTCTGCTAGGTTAAAATATTTAAATAAGTTTTCAAAACTTCTTAGCCGTTAAATTGTGAGGTGTGAAAAATTATGTAAGGGTGATCATCTCTCTGTGAGCGTGCACATAGATGAACTTGCACGTAGGGAGGCTGTAAAGGCTTTAGGACAGTGCAATATAATGCGCTTCTCCATTATACAAGCCAGAAGCTTTTGTATTCTTTACTTTATATTCAGTATTAATTTTATATATTTACTGGCCTAATATTTTATATAATAGATATTACACTCTCTCTATGTTACTTGAATAGAATTAAAAATTAAAAATACTCAAAATCCCCAACAAATTCTGCACCCAAACACACTTGATGCAGTGGAGAGGGATGATCAGGAAGTTCATTTAAAAAGAAATGTGGTGGAGTAAAATTACGAAGGCAAAAGCTGGACTATATAGTAACCTTTAGCATGACCTTTACTGGAGTTTTTGTTTAAGTGTGGATACCTCCACTAACAAGTAGACCTATTCCGCAAGCCGATTTGTGTAGCCGAATGTGCATTTGTCTCTTTGATGCCGTGGATAAATCCATGTGTGAGTCCACGGAAATTGATTTAAATCTTAAGATTGCTGAGCTTAAATTTGCTGCCCTTTGATTTCATGATTCTTATTCTCATGGCAGGTATCTGAATGGATGAACAATAGATCACATGTATTCCTTTTACCTAGAGATGTTACATTTCGGCTTGGATTATCCTTTCAAAAATCGCAGAAGATAAAAGATATGGATTTTGCTCGAACACCACTTTCTTACAATTTTATGCCGGAAACTTCGATTCATGTTTCATCAGGGATTACTGTGTATGTCAGAATGACAATGAAGATGAAGTGCCTGGCAGGTTGAATTTGTACAAGAAGCTGGAAATTTGAAGTATGAGCTTAGTGTGATAAGCTCACTTCAAGTTGATCATGGGCCAACTTTTATAAGCCTGTGCAAAGCTAAGACCTACTAGTCTCATGGAAATCTTCAATTAGAAGATATCAAGGTTTTAATTTGGTGATCTGGAACTCCTTCAGCTGAAAACTTGGACACAGTATGTTGAAAGAAGTATTGAACAATCAAAAAGTTCCAAAAAGGATAACAACATTGATTTATTCACGTTCAGTTATGATAATGATATATACCGTCATGCAATTCCCAATTTATACATATGTTAGGATAGTGTCACGGACTTGGACTTGTACGCCCGTGTGACACCTGCGTGGCGTAACCTCCCGGTGCGAGGACTAACACTAGTCACGACGATCTGCCCCAAATTTTGAGTAAAACAAAAACAAACCAATGCCTACACATTCTTATGGCAAGACATGAATATGAATCCTCTCAGCAAGGTCCATCCAAGGATGGTCATGTATCTGTGATGAACCAACCATCAGCGCCTTGAATTGTACCACGCATGACTTATCCTGCCAAAAGACTACTAAGAAAAACTCACTTTCAAGCTTTAACCAACACTCAATCCAACTTCTTTTTCTTTTTATTTTGTGTTTGTGTGTGTGTGTGTGTGTGTGTGTGTGTGTGTGTGAGAGAGAGAGAGAGAGAGAGAGAGGAAGGAAAAGACTACACACAAGAAACAGAAGATAAGTCCATCCCAATTGGTGACTACCCTAAATTTATGCTTCATCTAACTCAATAAATCCAAACCATGCCCATGTGCTGGCAAAGGCATTGCTTTGGCCAGATGCAAAAGCAACTCTACCCATTCTTTACAGCCTTATCTTATTCATTTTTCTACTCAAATTGAATATGTTATCCTTCTGTTAATTTTTAATTTTTTTATTTTTTTTCCTTCAGAATTATCACAATGGTTATGACAAAGAAAGTTGTTGACTTCTGGTTAAGCGGAGAGTGATTAATATAAGAGTAATTTTATTGCGAGAGCGTTTTCGCAAAAAGTCTAAGGAGCTCTTGCTTATTGGTTACACGATTTTTTTTTTAGGAATGAGTAAATTGAGTAATGTTATTATGAGAAAGTCTAAGGAGCTCCTGCTTATTGGTTACACGATTTCTTTTTTAGGAATGAGTAAATTGAGTAATGTTATTATGAGAGCGCTCTCGCAAAAAGTCTAAAGAGTTCCGCTTATTAGCTACACGATTCCTTTTTTAGGAATTTAGGAGAGAATTAATTAAGAAAGAATTTTTTGTAATAAGGAAACAAATAATCCTTTTTTTTTTCTTTTTTTTTTTTCTCCACGTTCTCTCTTTCTCTGTCTTGGTTACCCTCAACCAATCCGTCTCTTTCTCTCTCTTAGTTAATCCATTCTTGAAATATTTGATATTACAACTTTTTTCATAACTTATTCAATTGTTAAGTATTTCGAATTTTAAGAACTAAATGAAAAGGTAAGGAATCCAAACCCTTTTATAAAAATCAGATTGGAGGAGTTATAAAATTGTTCTTCAATTTTGTTTGTACAGAAAGCAACTACTCTACTATGGTGAGGAATAAGAGCATCTGTTCTTTATTTCTCATGGCCATATTAGGTGCCCGCCCTTGAGTTTGAAATGCTGTTTGTTGAAAGCTCTAAAATCATGAAGTACTTAGAGTATGCATTATAAATACACATAATAGTCTTAAGTTCATTATAGTGATGAGACCAGCAGAGAAAAAGTTGGCCAAAATCAAGCCTCCAAGCTTTACAATATCAAATCTTTCAATAATGGGATAAAGGATGTAATGTGGGGAGAAATAACCAATAATGGTTGAGAGTTAACCAAGAGAGAGAAAGAGACAAATTGGTTAAGGGTGTTAACCAAGAGAGAATGTGAAGAGGAGAGAAAAAGAGAATTATTTGTTTCCTTATTACAAATGATTTTTTCTTAATTAATTCTCTCCCCCAAATTCCTAACTCAATTTATGCTTCATCTAACTCAATAAATCCAAACCATGCCCTATGTGCTGGCAAAGGCATTGCTTTGGCCAGATGCAAAAGCGACTCTACCCATTCTTTATAGCCTTATCTTCTTCATTTTTCTACTCAAATTGAATATGTTATCCTTCTGTTAATTTTTTATTTTTTTTTCCTTCTGAATTATCACAATGGTTATGACAAAGAAAGTTGTTGACTTCGTGTTAAGAGGAGAGTAATTAATACAAGAGTAATGCTATTACGAGCGCTCTCGGAAAAAGTCTAAAGAGCTCCGCTTATTAGCTACACGATTCTTTTTTTAGGAATTTAGGAGATAATTAATTAATAAAGAATTTTTTGTAATAAGGAAATAAATAATTCTTTTTTCTCTATATTCTCTTCACGTTCTCTCTTTCTCTCTCTTGGTTAATCCATTCTTGAAAGATTTGATATTACAGCTTTTTTCATACCTTATTCAATTGTTAAGTATTTCGAATTTTAAGAACTAAATGAAAAGGTAAGGATCCAAACCCTTTTATAAAAATCAGATTGGAGGAGTTATAAAATTGTTCTTTAGTTTTGTTTGTAGAGAAAGTAACAACTCTACTCTAGTTCAACCGTACGGTGAGGAATAAGAGCATCTGTTCTTTATTTCTCATGGCCATATTAGGTGTCCACCCTTGAGTTTGAACTGTTGTTTGTTGGAAGCTCTAAAATCATGAAGTACTTAGAGTATGCATTATAAATACACATAATAGTCTCAAGTTCATTATAGTGATGAGACCGGTAGAGAAAAAATTGGCCAAAATCAGGCCTTCAAGCTTTACAATATCAAATCTTTCAATAATGGGATAAAGAATGTAATTTCAATAATGGGATAAAGAATGTAATGTGGCAAGAAATAACCAAGAATGGTTGAGGGACCTAACCAAGAGATAGAAAGAGACAAATTGGTTGAGGGTGTTAAACAAGAGAGAGAACGTGGAGAGAAAAGAGAAAAAGAGGATTATTTGTTTTCTTATTACAAATGATTCTTTCTTAACTAATTCTCTCTCCCAAATTCTTAAAAAAGGAATTGTGTGGTTAATAAACAGGAGCTCTTTAGACTTTTTGCATTACCCAGAATATAATTATCATACTTACATTGATTGCGGAATTATAATTATGAGACAATACATGACAGTTTGGCAAAAAGGTCATAACATAGGTTTTGGTATTTGTTCTGCAATTAAGTCTTCAAGATTGAGACATGTTAACCGACAAACTAAATGATTAGAGACATTCTTTATATAATTTTATGCTCACTAGTCTTTCAGTGAAAAGGACTGCATGACTAGACCTTGTATATAGCCAATCAAGATTTGTGCTTATAAACTGAAACAATTGAAAGTTGATGCAGTAAGAAAATTTTCAATCAAGAAGTCAAACTCGTTTTGTATGGCCAATAAAGATTTAAGCCAAAAAACTGAAACAATTGAAATTAAGTTGATGCAGTAAGAATATTTTCAATCAAAAGTCCTCAACAATCACAGTGAAAACAAAACTTTTGTAATTAAAGTAAGTGACACAAGTCAAGAGCAGGTAAGCCTAGATTTTTTATTTTTTATTTTTTCCCGATAATTAAGCCTAGATTGTTTGCTCTGTGTTGTGGAAATAAAAAGTTGAAAGCAATCACCATCCACTTCACAATGGTTTGTTTACCTAATCACACACTGCAATCTACACATAATACACATATGCCACAGAGTCATGGCTACTGCATATGCAGATCAGTCACTCGAAGATTTATTATTTATGAAACGATTATTTAAACATGTTGAACTATCTAACCATGCTTTTAACACCCTTAACATTAATAAAATTGTGTATTCTCAAGAGCAGGTAAATTCTTAATTTAAACAGACAACCAACACTTGTGTTAACATATGATCGATGAGCTTTGAACGTTGGTTGCAAGTGGTGGCAACATATGATCGATGAACTTTGAAAGTTAGTTAAAAAATACGTTAATTTTATTGCTGAGTTCTTACCTTGTCCGTGTTTTACTTTTTTTAAAAAAAAAATTTACAGTGTCAAATGGTGCAACCAACAGACAAATATAAGCCTGTAGGGCAAACAATAAGAGCATAGGACATACCGACTGGTAGTAATTGAGAGAGAGGCACACGGCACTTAACAAGAACTAAGCAAGCTTTTGGCCACTTCCCATAATGTGAACGCAGGCATCAGTGGCAATGTAGAAGGGACAATTCTAGCCAGAACTCGGAAACAACCTTTTTGGCCACTTCCCCCTGCCTTAGCTGGAGGCATCAATGGTTATGTAGAGACATACAACGACAATGAGTAAGCCAAACAAGATGTATCGCTCTCTCTTCTTGGAAGTTTCTCCTCCCAAAACCTCCATAGCCACCACCATCATTTCTAATACCATCGTAACTACCATCACAAACAACAATTTGTTAATACATAAAAAAGTAAAAAAGACGAGCAAATGAAAACGACATTTGATTAGCAATGATGATGGGTAGGCTCACCTTATTTACAAACAAGATAGAAGCACAAGGTGGTTTTGTAGGTAACACAACCAGGACCACCCACTGAATACACAAGATGAAGAGGAGGACCTGATATATCATCACAACCACCTTCTGACAATAAATTGTAGATGTTCACCAAGAATTAATATGCCATGTGCCGTAGATTTGACTCTTTATCTATGAAGAGGTTTTCTCAATGTCAATGTTGCCTTATAAGTAAATCCCCAAAAAATGTATTTTTATAGTTGTGTTTAGATTATGAATATTCTTGAATATGCAGTAGAAGTAGACAGAATTTAGAACATGCACAATTCACTTGAGGTCACTATAATCTTCAAAAATCTACAATCTTTATCATAAGCTCTTTTTATAAGGTCAGAATTGAACTTATAATTATACATAGCAGCACAAGAATTTCAAAAGCTCTATTTTCTGGCTGAATTCATGTACTGTTCGTATGTTTATACCCATAATTTTTACAATTATACAGTGGATAGGAAGAAGAGAGAGGAGTGACTAGAACATGAGAAGACAGAAAACCATGCAACAGCAGAGGAAGAAACAAACTCTGCTGAGTGACTTATCAGCCTGCATAACATGCCTTCTCACTCTAGGACTACTGCTTCCTGCTAAATGATACGAATTTGGATAATTATATGAAGTTGTTTCTGAGTTGCCAGATATCCTTGCGTAAAACATTTCCCCAAACATGCCAATCACCGGGTGGAACAAACTAGTCATTGTCGTGCCAGCAATGCTAAGCATGGGCATTTCAGCATTATTGCTGCCAGGGTGAGGGTAATATGGTTGTTGCTGTTGTTGAGGATAAGTGCGATGATTAAGTTGATGAGCTGTATGCAAGCTTGTGGAAGTGGCTGTTATCAGCGTTTGGACCCTGCATCTGGGACTAGGAGGTCTGCATGGTATGGCTATACCAAGATGTGGGGACTTGCTTGCGGATGACTTTGTAGTTTTTCCGCGACCATAGAGCGGGACTAAAGTTTTTTGTGAAACTTCAGCTTTGCATACAGGGCATTGTGGCTGTTTCTGGTCAGAATTTTCAGCAGAGAGACTCTGGGAATGAATCCATTTGTAGATGCACGGCCAGCAATAGAGGTGACCGCAAAGGGTGATCACAGGGTCCTGCACAAAATCTAAGCAGATGTTGCAGTCGAAACCACCAGACTGACTGTTTTCAGATCCATCGACCATGGCTGGGGCAGTATTCCACTTCTCCAGGGAAGTCATATCTTCCCTATTGGACTCATGTTGTGCCACAGCCTCTTGGGGGTACTGCTCCATGGACATTGGGTCTGTTTGGCAGGACGAAAAAGGAGGGTTAGGATCCTGATTTTATTGAACACACGTAAAGAAACATTATTTATGAAGAAAATAAACTTAATGTTGCCTACAAGAAGCTGAAGATATGTCATGTCAATGTTTGTTATAGATTGTTTGACACAAATAACTCAATTCAGAGAGAATTAATCTCTCAAGTAAGGTAAATATTTCAAAGAGGGAAGTGTACCAAAACAAATGATACAATTCAGATCCAGTTCTATATGTCCCTTACTTAACTTGAAAAACAGAGGTCCCAATCAATTGAAAATTAGACTTTAATTAATCAATACACTAAAAATTTTGTAGGTGAGAATTAGGTAGAACATAAATTCTGAAACAAAGCATCCAATCAAACATAGCGAAGCTCGACCAACCATGGGCTTCATCTAATGGACTCCCTTCATCCAACTACCAACCTAAATTTCAATAGGTTGGGAACCTAACAATGCACAATAAATTCTACAAGAATATTAGCCAAAAATCACATAATGAAGTCTTAATTCGTTAAAAGGAAATTTCATCAAGATCCTTCTAGAAGGAACACAGATTCTATTATTTGGCCATGATAAACATCTTGTGACCTTTATTTGTTTAAGTCAAATTATTAACATTAAGATCAGGAGAATATTTGCAATTTAATGACGAGGTTACTACAATAAATAAACAAATAAATCAACTTTAGGTTCAATATGATTATATTAGAAACAGAAATAAATTAACTCTAGAGATGCATATATTACAATTGACTACTCTAGTTATGTGTATTAATGAAGAGACAGGAGCCTTATCATTTAAATAAGAGGAGTTAGATCTGGTAAACACTGAGTTATGAAATCCAAACCCTTTAACAATTGCTATTATGTGGTGTTCAATGTTTGACTCTTCCAATAAGAGTATCCCTAAATTTCAATATTAATAAGTTCAAATGTTAGATGTTAGATGTTATATTCCATTCCTCCATAGATACTCAATGATATAATATTCTTAACCAGTACCTTGTACGACCCTCTATCAGGTTTATCCATCAAACCTTCTCAAAGATGCCCGTTTACTATATCAAGATCCTGAATTTAATTGAAAGATAGCACCCACACTAAATAAAATTGAAAAAATTATATATATATATTGTTACTTGAAAGGTTTAGTTACTAATTGACTACCGCAAAGGTGTATCGATAAAATTTCTTGATTGAAGGAAGAAGTTGGTTCAAATGATCTCTGCAGCACCTACTAGCTATAACCCGGTTTGTGGGAAAAATATCACAGACCATAAAATAAGAACTTGGGAATTTAAAACCAGATTGGGTAGCAAATTGATTGTGTTGGTTCCATCATTCAAGCTTACTCCCACTATGGACGGGAGAAAAATTGCTTTATTTAGGCCCCACCGATTGTTTTCACTAGAGGTGTTTGTGGCCAATTGATGCTTCTAAAAGAATCAATGTTGGACTTAATGGATCCTTAGCTAGTCATTCAAGAATTGGTCATTGAGGAGCTTTGAAGAGCCAAAAACTCAGTATGGTTGGCAAGTTAAGTGGTTGTGAGGTTATTCTTAGTTCAGTCCATCAAAGGTGATTTTTTGGTACCATGGAAGCACCAAATAATTTATATATATGTGTGTGTGTGTGTGTGTGTGTGCGCGCGCTCAATTCATTGCATAAAGCCTTGTCCTTGCAAATTGAAAGTAAAATTCCATTCTTACAAAGACATAAGAAAGAATTGAAGTCGAAACAGAGAGAAATTCTGCAAATGTCAATAAAAATGAGGTTTCTTTCACAATTAGTCTCCAATATTCATATACCAACAGCTTGAAAAGAACAAGAAGAAACCCAAAAGCAAAGAAACGAACAACAAAATCTTTATATACATACACACACACATATACATGCATATACATATATAACACAAGAATTACTAATATCTAAAAAAGAGGGAACACGCTGAGATCATCTGAGATCCATACTCTTCTCTCTCTCTCTTTTCTTGAACAAAATCGAAACTTTCTTCCTCAATCGTTCAGAAAATAAGCATGAAGATCTAAAGAGAAAAAACAGAGACCTACAGGTATAAAGAGTTAGAGAAAGACATGCATACCGATAGTCAAGTGAGAGACTGTGCTTTGAAACCGCGTGAGTCGAAATTAATGGCGTATAGACGAGGCAATGCTAACTGGGAGAGAGAGGGAGAGAGTTTTAGAGAGAGAGTTTTAGGGAAGCACAGAAGAAGCGTGGTAAAGGAGGAGAGGGGTTTGTGCTATATAAGGATGATATGATGAGAGATGATAAGAGAGCATATATAGCCAAGAGCATTGGATAAACATTACCTATACGGCGATTCCTGTCCCCGATGACGTTTTTGCACTCATTGCCGCGCCTTTCATGTGATAGACTCTCTCCCCCACTACTCTTTTTCCTTTTCTTTTTTTTTTTTCTCTTTTTCTTTTTCTTTTTCTTTTCTTTTTTATAAAAAAATTAACTCAATATTTACAATATTCTTTCCAATGTTTTTTTTTAGGGTAACCTATGATGTTTGGGTAAATTATAAAAAAAAATTAACTCAATTTTTGTTGTTCAATTAAAAAAAAAAAAAAAAAAAAAAAAAAAAAAAAAAAGTAAAATTGTCATTTTATAAAATTTGGTCAACGAGTCTATTTGAGAGAAAATGTTAGGTCGTGTCATTGAGCACCCATATCAAATCTTAAACGAGATCAAATTAATAAATGTTGAACAATCTATAAGACTATAATTTGTCCAAACCTTATGAATGATTGTTTCCATCATATGACATTAATACTCTGTTTAGCGGGAAATAAAAAAGTTCGATGGAAGAGAAAGAAGAATGGGTGGATGAAACATCCTAGGGAAGAGATTGTGTATTTTCTTGGATAAATAATAATAGAATAAGCTCATAATTTACTATGTTAGTTCAGAGAATAAAAAATAAAAAGTTTTAATTATTTTTACCATTATATCTAATAATATTTATAATATTATAATTTATAAATGATAACTTGTATAATTTAGGATATTAATTAATTTAAAATTTTTATAATAATTCATTTGCCTTCTCTCTTTTATTTTGTCCAAAAATAGACTGATAAAAATTTGTAAAGAATGAAGTATTGATCATCCTTCCTATTTTTAAATTATGTGTGCATCTTGGAATCTTGATGGAAGGACTTTGTCAAAGGTTTTTTTTTTTTTTCATTCCTTTTCTTTTTTTCCTTTTGTAGGGCCATTTGGTTGTTGATCCGCTCCTAATTGAAATTAAGTCCAATTTAAAGTAGTTATGAAATCTTCATTTCAACTCATAATTAGGATTTAACCAAAAAAAAAACCTTTGATAAAGTCCGTATATCTTTTATCAATTCAATTCTTGATAGTATATTTATTTATTTTGTTCGTCACATATATCAGATATTTCATTAATTTATAAAATTCATAACAAAGAAACCGATATTCACACACCCCTTTTAACTAAATTCACTCTATACTTACTACAATGAAGTAACTTAATCAGAAACAAGTGTGAGGGATATGTATGTCACCTACATTAAGAAAAAGATAAGGTAATTAATGCATTTAGTTCAAAAGAGTGCAGTTATCATCTCCCCACAATAAAATATTAAAATAAAACTCTAAATTAAAATAAGAAATTAACGGTATACCAATAAATAAATCTTAGATTTTTATTATTTTTATTTATTTATTAGTGGAGGGATAAGTAATCTTACAATAAGTTATCGGCATCAATGAAGGTAAACGGATAACCCCTCCTCGAAATCTAACTAACGACACATAATCTTGTGTTGAAGTACATTTCTTTATAGAACTTAGAAATGAAATATCTTATATTAAAAATTAATAAAAAAAAAAACTCAAACAATTTGATAATCCAAATAAAATATAATTCAAGTCAACTTCATCTCATTTAAAAATATTGCCTGCAAAAAGTATTTCATTTCTTTAAAGTAGTAGTAGTAATATGTACCGCTGGCTAGTGATGGTGCTCTTTCTTAAGTTATAAATTGATCACTGGATCACATATCAACATAAATAATCCCATTAATCAAAACATGTAATATGCCGCCCCTTCGAAATGATGTATATGTACGATGAGAAATATATATATATATATATATATATATATATATATATAACTGTACTTATATAATGTGTGTTATTTTAGGAACAAATACATGGCATTTATGTTCGGTAGGGAGAAGAGACGTGAAATTATTATAAAAAGTTTATATTATGATACTATTCATACTTATAGCATAATAAAAAGTTGAAGAAAGCTCAAAGGAGTATTATAGACCATAAATATAATCGTAAAATAACTTAAAACTTTCAATCCTTGTCTCTTATAAGCAAAGTAAGTTGTCAAATAAAAGACCATAAGCAAGTCTTTTTTTGTTTTTTTTTTTAGTAAAGCAATAAATATATACAGTTGCAGACAATTTCACAGCTTCTTAGTTTAATATTTCTTTGGAACAAATAACCGTGAAATTTGTGAATGTCCAGTTTCCTCCTACTATATTTTGGTGTTGATGATATTTGCTAGTATCTTTTGTTTTTGTGATCAACTCATCGTTAATTAATTATTTAAAGAAAGTGACAAACAAAATGGTTCACATTAGTTACCAAAAGAACAAAAAAATGGTTCACAATCAAATTATAGAAAAAGGGTTTGACCCGCATCTATATATATATGTTATTTATTACTCCTACGTTTAAAGTTAAATTAAACTAAATAGACTACACGATATTTATCTCAAGGATATTTTCTAAAAAAAAAAAATTTCTCCAGGCCAGCTTTCAAAAACGTAATGCCAATTAAAGTAGATTACTGTGATTACTTTAGTGCCATTATTTGAATATATATAGAGAGAGAGAGAGAGTAATTAATTGAATATGAGTAGTGTCTATGGGTACATCCAACTAATTTTATGTGAGTTAAAATGGATATTAATGATATCGTGATGATGTCAGTGCTCACTCATATAAATCAGTCTGACTCCATATCATTATCCTATATAAATATAATATTTTGTTGATATAAATTGATGTAGTATACTATTCAAATCATGGTTTGTTGAATATCTAAACATGAATAAAGTAAATTTGTGATGTTCTACATTGCTTTGGGAAGAAGTTATTAAGATTTGTGCGCTGAGGTTGCTTAAATATGTGAATGTTTTTTGAATAAAATTATGAACTGATAAGCAAATATGCAAAACGAACGATATCGACACGGATTGAACGAATCGCAAAAGATAGTATAACCAATCTCCCTCCAAAAAACTAAAGGACGTGCACAAGATCATTTGACCGAACAGAGCCAACATGAGCCTTGGAGCACGTACACCCTGCACCCATGTTGGCCCATTATTTTTAAGCATATATATATATATATATATATTGGCACCAACAGACAAACTAAATACAAGATGAAAAAGAACAATCAAGGTGGAGCGCCTGCAACAGCCATGAAGGCCAAATGCGTCACTCCAAATCACTACAACCGGTTGCTAAAGCCTTTTTACTCAAAGAATGAGTAACACTATTACAAGAATGAGGAACCCGGAAGATCCCACACACTCCGCAAGAAGCAAAAAAACATCCTGGAAAGCATATAATATGTTACACATTCCATGGTGCTCCCCTGAAATCCAATAATGGAACCCATATAAATTCCTAAACAATGTCAAACTTAAAGGCTAAAGAAACAATTAAATAATGGAATTAGACTCTTAAATTTCCATCAAATTAAAGTTCTCCCATTTCAGCATTAATGCTTAATAATGGAGAAAAGTCGCGCTTCTGCAACTTTTAAAGATCCTTTACTTCAAGAATGGTCTTGATTATTACGGTGAGTTTTGACTCATCTGCTAGATATTATTTTTGTACTTTTTATTTCAAGAATTTTTAAAACAGTCCGTTTACATAATTATGGATCATTTTTTCATGTAAATGTCAACAATCTCATTCATCATTAATTTATTCTGATTTATCACATGAGTAAAAAGAAAAAAAATACTTTTATTCACTAAATTCACAAACGGAAATCAGTCATAAGCTTATCCTGAACGTATGGAAAGTTAATTAATTCAAGTTGACTTAATTTATTATTTCTTTTATTTGAGTTGGGTTGTACATGAAGTAAGCCGACAAGTACATGTAAGGCAAAGAGAGTCATCATATTGTTTTGTTCATGTTTCTTCCTTATCCTACATCGACATGTGGTCCATTTGGACCACCTAGGAGTACTTTATAGATCATGAAGAAGTGTTTAGTGGCCTTTACATAGCTTGTATATAATATTAGTATATACTTTAATTACATAGCTTGCTGTACTATATAGTATATGGTATTAGTATGTAGTTTAATATGTACGACCCACTCGCTTCTTCATTATCTATATATTTTTGTAACTAGATTAGTTGCATTTTAAAATTTTTGTAATATAATATTAGTATATACTTTAATTACATAGCTTGCTGTACTATATAGTATATGGTTATATAGTTTAATATGTACGACCCACTCGCTTCTTCCTTATCTATATATTTTTGTAACTAGGTTAGTTGCATTTTAAAATTTTAAGAACACTGAAATTATGTTGTTTACGCTAATGTATCCATAATCCAATGTATATGGTCCCACCATGTACAAGTTGACGACTTTCGTATCCCAATCACATTCATGCCACTCCTCATTATGGTCGGTCACAAGTCTCTTCTTCCTATTTTATTTTTTATTTTTTATTTTTTTATTTTTTTTATATATATTTTTCTTACTTCCAAACTAAATCAACATAGACAATATATTAAAAGTGGATTAAAAATTAACCTTAAAAATAATCCAGTACATGCAAGCGTAGCTTAGTTATTTGTGCTAAAACATAAAATTATGGAATAATGATATTTGCACAGAAGACTTTGATAGAATTTTTTAGACCCTGAGTGGAGGGTCTCATTTTGATATATTAAGTCTAACAATTCTGTCTAAGTCTTCAATACAAATATCATTACTCAAAATTATGTGGAAAAAATGTGAATACTTAAAAGAATCAAATTCACTTCTTTATTTTTCTCCTGATATTTTACAATACAATTTCACCACAATTACTTTAAAAATTCACCACTTTAAATGATGAATTTATCTATTATAATAGTGAAATTTTATCCATTTTTATTGGTCTTTAATGAATTAAGGCGGCGATATTTGCTAAATAAAATAGTGATTAAAGTATAAAATGACGTGCTTTTGTTCTTCATTAGAT